TTTTTTTTTATGTTTGCCCTTTTCTGTAGTGTCGCCTGTGCCGCCCCCCCCCCCCCCCCCCCCCCCCAACCGAACAGTCTTTTATTGTGAAAAGCAGAGTGAAGTCCACAGCAGAGCGGTTACATAATCCACTAAGTTTATACGTTTTCTGAGATCTGGAGATGATCATGTAGACCGAAGGAGGCTACATAAGATCAGCTGCTGTCGGCCCGTGTGTTCAGTTTGCTGAAGTGGTGCACTCTGGGAAATACACACAAGGCTTGTAGGTCGAGAAACATGCAGTCGATTTTTGCAATAAATGGATTGGAGACTCCCGAGCCGGTGAAAGCTCAGGTGGAAGGTCAGTTTGAGTCTCAGATGGTTTATAAACAAACATTTGAAAAGCTGTCAATAAATTGATTTAGTTTCAGATGCAGAACTTTCGTCACTGGATTATATAACGTTTATCATAATATAAAGATTTTATGTGTAAAATTATTTGAAGCTGCAGGTCACTGTAGCAGCAGCTTTGTGTTTTGTTGTTCAAAAGATATACATGTGATACTTTAATACACACAGGACTGTCACTTTAATGTGTGTTGAAATGAAAATGTGTGATGCTTAATTATTTATGCTTTTTAAATAAATATTTAAATGTAAATAAATAGGTTTTGTAGAAAAACTGTGAGACATTTAATTAACGTGTATTGGAAATATTAAAATAAATACTGTGGCGTAACAACAGATCGTGAACTTGATCATTAGACAATGTTCTATAATATATATATATATATATATTTATTCATGCATGAAGTAGAACATTAATCGATCATCACAGTGGGGAGAGTTGATCTCTTTCTTCATTGTTTTGTATTTTAGTTATTATTTTAACTAGGTATGAAACGTATCTTTAATAAGTTGACTCTGTTTCATCTTGTTTATATTGTGGTTTCCCCTCTAAGTCGTGGTATCACAGGAATATACCAAGGACAGTAAACGAGGTAGAATACCTGTGTGACCTCTGACCTGCAGGGTCCATCCCGTCCTGGCTGCAGGGAACTCTCCTGAGGAACGGACCGGGCCTCTTCTCCGTGGGCAGCTCCGAGTACAACCACTGGTTTGACGGCATGTCGCTCCTTCACAGCTTCACCTTCGCCAACGGTGAGAAAAGACAAGAATTCAGATTTACATGAAACATGATGTCACTGAAGGGAGGTTAAACCAGTTGCTGTGAGACTTTACCTGGAGGTGGTGCTGTTTCAGGTGAGGTGACCTACAGGAGTAAGTTTCTGAAGAGCGACACGTACAAAAGGAACATCAAGGCCAACAGAATCGTCGTCTCCGAGTTTGGAACCATGATCTACCCGGATCCCTGCAAAAACATCTTTTCCAGGTACAGAACAAGTAAAGATCTGTTTCAGTCCATCCAGAGCATTTAGAGATCTGTGTTAGTCCGTCCAGGACCTACTTCTGTGCTGATGTGAGGTTCATCTATTGGTTGTACAGGTTAACTTTTCTCAAACTCTCTATAGGGCATTCACACACCTCAGCAACATCATCCCTGACTTCACTGATAACAACCTGATCAACATCATCCGCTACGGTCAGGACTACTACGCCTCCTCCGAGGTCAACTACATAAACCAGATTGATCCTGCTACCCTTGAGACTGTCGGCAGGGTAAGTTAGTCTCCGTCGCCTCCTCGAAGTACAAAAACTTCCTCAAATGAATCATGTTCTTTGTACAACCTCTACACCGAATTCTAGATTAACTACAGGAACCACATCGCTCTGAACTTGGCGACGGCTCACCCTCACTATGACGACGAGGGCAACACCTACAACATGGGCACCGCCATTATGGGCCTGGGCCTGCCCAAATACGTCATCTTCAAGGTCCCAGCTGATGCTTCAGGTAAGGTGGTCCACAGGAATCTGATTCCACTTCAAAACGCTCAAAGATCTGTTCATGTGGATGCTGGAGGTCTTGACTGCAGGGGAACTTTGTGTTTTAGATTATTTACAGCAATAAAGTTACTTTATTGAACCTGAGTTCCAGAAGTCGCGTTCTTATCTAAATTGTTTTGTGATGCTGCAATCAGACTGTCCTGGAAACAGATTTGATATCAGTAACGTCCCAAAAGATTGGCAACGTGGCAGAAGATACCGTCTCTTCAGAAAACATTATGTAAACAGGAAACCTGGTTTCAGATAAAAGAATATTCGATGGAGAATTAAGGAGCAAAGGAGTAATATTTTGAGGAAACGTTTGGATTCTAAGAGACTTGCAGCCTCTTAGAAAGAAAACAAAACTAAGAGTCAATACAGAGTCCAGCCGAGTCTTTAGTTCTGCAGTAATTTGTCCATAAACATGTCGACCTGATGAGAAGTCTGAGGATCAACATAGTTATTGCAATTCATCCTGAGGGGAATATGAATGATGAAACCACAGAAACAGGAGAAGACGGACATACCAACTGACATACCATCCTGGAGCGGGACGCATTTTTTATGTGCACCGTTGCCATTGTGACGATCTAATTTACATATAAAGTAAACAACCTTACGGCAACTCAAACGACTAAAACAAGCAATGGAGCAGTAACATTACAAAGCTTGGAGAGTAACAACTTCTTTGGCTAATTGTCTGTAATCAGTGTAGCACAAAAGCATGGTGGAAGCTAGAGAGACTTGCAGACTGGCTAATTGGCTAGCTTACTAATTCCACCATGCTTTAATGCTACACTGAACCTCACTCCCCACCGCTAGGAGAGGGACAAGCTAACTAGCTAACTAGCCAGCTGTTCCTCTCCAGAGTTGTAAACAATCCCCAATTTTCTTTTGCACAAGTCCAATAAACATCCGATAATAATAAAAGGTACTTACAGTGTTGAGATGGTTTTTTTTCCGGATAAAGAGCGCAAGAAGCCGGCGCTGAGGAAAGTCCAGCAGGTGTGTTCGATCCCGTTTCGTTCCACTCTGTTCCCGAGTTACTTCCACAGCTTCGGCATGACCGACAACTACATTGTGTTCGTGGAGCAGCCCTTCAAACTGGACATCGTCAAACTGGCCACCGCCTACTTCAGAGGGGTCAACTGGGGCAGCTGCCTCAAATTTGATGAGGATGACATCGTGAGTCCCCCACTTACAATGACGTTTATTTCCAAACAATTAAAGTCAATCAAACTGGATGTTGTGACGGGAAAACAAGGCTATGGTTTAGTTACAGTGTCCCCAAAAAACATCCAACAACAATTGTGGTATGTAGAACTTTATTGTCGGTTGTGTTTCAGCTTGTGGTCCAACAATAGATGTAGTTCTATTTACAATTGTGGCTGGGGTTTTACTTTTTCAGACGTTTCATATTTGTCACATGACTGTTGGTCTCAGATGAATCAATCATGACTTCATAGTTTCACTGAGGAGCTCACAATTTAATGTTTTTACAGAATCTGGTTCAAGTGAACGCTTTATTTGTGGCGAGATTTTAAATGAGACATGTAGAATATTATGTTTTTAATGAAATATCACTATTTTAGGCTTTGTTTTGGTTGCTTTTCTGACGGAAACGTTAGTCACACATGATGTGTTCAAGGACCCAGGGAAAGATGAAGATCTTACGATAATGAGGGTTTTACAGCTTCTGGCTGTGATAAATGGTGACGTCTTGGCGATGGTTTAAAGAAAACATGCTTTTCACCTGACCCAGGTGTGTTGCATACCGCTGACTAACCCTTCAACAGGTCTGCAGATCGACATTATAACCGTTTGCTTTTCCTTCCCCAGACTTTGTTCCACGTCGTCAACAGAAAGACGGGACGGGCCGTGTCCACCCGTTTCTACGGCGACGCCCTGGTGGTCTTCCACCACATCAACGCGTACGAGGCCGACGGCCACGTGGTCTTCGACCTGATCGCCTACAATAACAGCAACCTGTACGAGATGTTCTACATCCGGAACATGAGGCAGGAGACCGACGACTTCGTCCAGACCAACAAGAGATTTGCGCCGCCGGTGTGCCAGAGGTTCGTCCTGCCGCTCGACGTCCACAAGGTGAAGTCCGACTACCGAAACACACCCGAGACGACTTTTAAGAGTCGCATGTGTTGACAGTTTGTGGTTCTCCAGGATGCCCCCAGAGGATCCAACTTGGTGACCCTAGCGGACATGACGGCCCAGGCAGTGATGCGGGAGGACGGCTCCGTCTACTGCCAGCCAGAAACTCTGTTTGATGGTTCGTTATCCGCACACAGATTTAAGAACGTTTAATCCTTCCCGAGCTAACGAGTACCGGTTCCTCCTCAGGTCTGGAGCTGCCGGGAATCAACTACAATTTCAACGCTAAGAAGTACCGATACTTCTACGGCTCCAGGATGGAGTGGTCACCTCATCCCAATAAGGTGAAACACCTCCGACAACCAGAACTGTCTATCGATCGTTCCACCCTTTTGGTCCAGACTGAAATATCTCAAACACTCGTGTTCCCCAGAGGATGAATCCAACTTGGTGATCCTCCTGATTTTTCATCTAGTGCTACCAGAATCTTTTTGTTGGTGAAATATCTCAACAAATATTAAGATGCATTGCCATGAAGTTTGGATCAGATATTATATTGTCATGATCCCCAGAGGTAAACCTGGGGGGGGGGGGGTTACAGTAGCTGCGACCTCACACACTTAACATCAATGGCAAATTCCAGCCTCCGAGGGTAAAAACTGACATTTTTGAGGACCGGCCGACACATCCGAGCTTGAGAACGGCTTTTTAAGCCTCTGCTGTACTTTGTAGGGGTTTGGGGAAAAACAATTGATTCTTAGATGCATCTTTCTCTTGAAAAATCATAACTCGGTGCAGAAAAACTCAATTCTCAACGTTACGTCCGTTGCTTATCGCTGCTCCTGAGTGCAACAGACGTAAAACACATGCGCCTTGTTTAGGTTCTAAGCTAAGCTAAATGCTAGCAGAGTTTTTGTGAAGGTACCCCCTTGGCTTAAAAGCTAAAGTATGGAAGCATTTAGCTTTTTCTTCTTCTTCTGCCCAACTCGGAAAAGGGTGATGCAAATCACGAAGTAGATCGCAACTTTTTTTTGTACAAGGATTTGCACCCCAACTCAAGTCATTGAGAACAAAGCACTACGTTGCACACTTCAGAACCCGATCTCTAGGTTTTTTTATGGACACAGCGAGACTCTACAACCAAACCAGAGCTAAAGTCATGGAAGCACTGAGGAATGCGTGCCGATAACGGGAGGATTTCTTTGAAGAGATGAATCGCCAATTGTTGAGTAAATTGCATCGTAGATCTCTGAATCGGAATAGACTTCAATTCTCTGTCGTTCGTCCAACAGATCGCCAAGTTTGACATCGTCACCCGGAGGCACATCGAGTGGCAGCAGGAGAACTGCTTCCCTTCGGAGCCGGTGTTTGTCGCCTCTCCGGGCGCCGTGGAGGAAGACGACGGTGAGCAACACTATTGCTAATCTCGGGATTAAATCCCCGACCGATTCTGACTGATTTCTTTCTTTCAGGCGTGATCTTATCGTCCGTGATCTCTCCGGATCCGAACATCTCCCCGTTCATGCTCGTCCTCGACGCCAAGACCTTCGAGGAGATCGCCCAGGCCTCCATCCCGGCCAACGTCCACATGGACCTTCACGGATATTTCATCCCGGCCGCCGTCTGATGGCCGAGCAAACCCGCTGGATTCGTTATTTATTCAAATTGTATTGTCTTGAAGAGAAGGTTCAGTTACCTTCTTTGTTTTGTTTATTTAAACATTGTTCTTCATTTTTTATGCATTCTACAAGAGATGTGTTGACAAAGTTTAGGCAGATATCCATTAAATGTCCTGCTCCCCAGAGGATGGACCCGTTTAAAGTCCCATTCTCAGGACAGATTTTTTGCACAGTAAGATATCTTTTTTAAGACATTTGTTGAAAAATCTATTAGAAAAGTCTGTTTATATAAATATATTATATTTATTTATATAAATATATTATATTTATCTAGCTTGATTGTTAATTTAAGTTACTATCAACAGTAACAATTATCCGTGTAATCTATGAAATGTCTCTAATTGTCCGGGTTCCGTATTGAATTAAAAAATGTTAAAACCCTGAAATCACCTGCGTTCATTGTTTATAAGTAATAAACACATTTAAACATTGATTTATATACAATACACTTTAATTCTTTTTTATTTATTTATTTTCATTGCAAATATTTTACAAAGTCAGAAGAACGTTGTTTGTCAGAATCGGATCTGGTTTCATCTCGTCTGT